CACTGTATCAAACATTTTTTAAAACTAAAATAGACAGACCTACAGCTAGTATCCTCCTGAATGGGAAAAAAAACTGAAAGCCTTTCCTCTAATATCTGAAACAAGACAAGGATGCCCACTTTCACTACTGTTATTCAATATAGTGCTGGAAGTCCTACCTAGAGCAATCAGACAAAATAAAGAAATAAAGGGCATCCAAATTGGAAAGGAAGAAGTCAAATTATCCTTGTTGGCAAATGACACGATCTTATGTTTGGAAAACCTAAAGACTCTACCAAAAAACTGTTAGAACTGATAAATGAATTCAGTTAAGTTGCAGGATATAAAATCAACGTACAAAAATCAGTAGCATTCCTATATGCCAACAGTGAACAATCTAAAAAGAAATCAGCCAGGCGCAGTGGCTCACGCCTGTAATCTCAGCACTTTGGGAGGCCGAGGTGGGCAGATCACGAGGTCAGGAGTTCGAGACAAGCCTGACCAACATGGTGAAACCCCATTTCTACTAAAAATACAAAAAAAAAAAAAAAATTAGCCAGGTGCGGTGGCATGCGCCTGTAATCTCAGCCACTCAGGAGGCTGAGGCAGGAGAATTGCTGGAACCCAGGAGGTGGAGATTGCAGTGAGCCGAGATCACACCATTGCATTCCAGGCTGGGCAACAGAGAAAGACTCTGTCTCAAAAAACTAAAAGGAAAGAAGAGAAAAGAAAAGGAAATAAAGGAAAGGAAAGGGAAGGAAGGAAGGAAGGAAGGAAGGAAGGAAGGAAGGAAGGAAGGAAGGAAGGAAGGAAGGAAAGAAATCGCATGTACAATAACCACAGATAAAATAAAATACCTAGGAATAAACTTAACCGAAGAAGTAAAAGACCTCTACGATAAAAACTATAAAACACTGATGTAAGAAGTTGAAGAGTACACCCAAAAATGGAAAGATATTCCATGTTCATGCATTGGAAGAATCAATATTGTTAAAAAGTCCATACTATCCAAAGCAATGCACAGAGTCAATGCAATCCCTATCAAAATACCAATGACATTCTTCACAGAAATAGAAAAAATATCCTAAAATTTATGTAGAATCACAAAAGACCTAAAATTGCCAAAGCCATACTGAGCAAAAAGGACAAAACAGAGAAATCACATTACCTGACTTCAAATCATACTACAAAGCTATAGTAACCAAAACAGCATAGTGCTGGCATTAAAACAGACACATACACCAGGGGAACAGAAGAAAGAACCCAGATATAAATCTATACATCTACAGTGAACTCATTTTTGACAAAGGTGCCAGAAACACCTTTGTCAGAGACTGGAGAAAGGACAGTCTCTTCAATAAATGGTCATGGGAAAACTGGCTATCCATATGCAGAAGAATGAAACTAGACCCTTATTTCTCATCATATGCAAAAATCAAATCAAAATGGATTAAATACTTAACTATAAGACCTCAAACTATAAAACTACTACAAGAAAATACTGGGGAAACTCTCCAGGACATTGGTCTGGACAAACATTTCTTAAGTAATACTACATAGGCAACCAAAGCAAAAATGGACAAATGAAACCACATCAAGTTCAAAAGCTTCTGCATAACAAAGGAAACAATCAACAAAGTGAAGAGACAGCCCACAGAATGGGAGAGAATATTTGCAGACTATCCATCTGACAACGGATTAGTAACCAGAATATATAAGGAGATATATATATATATGGATAATAAACAAGTCTACAGGAAAAAAATAATCAAACAATCTGATTTTTAAATGTGCAAAAGGTCTAAATAGGCATTTCCCAAAATAGGACATAGACATACAAATAGCAAACAGGCATATGCTCAACATCATTGATCATCTGAGAGAGAAATGCAAATCAAAACTACAATGAGATATCATCTCATCCCAGTTAAAACGGCTTTTATACAAAAGACAGGCAAGTATGTGGAGTAAGGGGAACCCTCGCACACTGTTGGTGGGAATGTAAATTAGTACAGCCACTATGGAGACCCGTATGGAGGTTCCTCAAAAACTAAAAATAGAGCTACCACATGATCCAGCAATCCCATTGCTAGGTATATACCCAAAAAGAAAGAAATCAGGATATCAGAAAGATATCTGCATTCCTATGTTATTCACAATAGCCAAGATTTGGAAGCAATCTAAGTGTCCACCAACAGACGAATGAATAAAGAAACTGTGGTCCATATACACAACGGAGTACTATTCAGCTATAAAAATAATAAGATCCCGTCACTTGTGACATGGATGGAACTGGAGGGCATTATGTTAAGTGAAATAAGCCAGACACAGAAAGAAAAACTTTGCATGTTCTCACTCATTTGTGGGAGTTAAAACAATTGAACCCATCAAAATAGAGACTAGAATGATAGTTACCAGAGCCTGGAAAGGGTAGTGTGGGGAGACAGAAAATGGGAGTGGTTAATGGGCACAAAAATATGGTTATATATAATGAATAAGATCTAATACTTGATAGCATAACAGGGCGACTACAGTCAGCAATATTTGCTGTACACTTTAGAATAACTAAGGGAGTACACCTGGAATGTTCATAACACAAAGAAATGATGGATGCTTGAGGTGATGAATATCCCCATTTACCCTGATGTGATTAAACATTTTATGCCTGTAACAAAGTATGTCATGTGCTTCATAAATGTATACACCTATTATATACCCATAAAAATTAAAAATTAAGCTTTTTTTCCATAAAGAAAAAAACTAAAATAAAAACAAAATAGAACATAAAATATCAGAGTGTATTGCACAGAATAAAGATAAGTATCATCTCCCAAAGCTTTCATTTCCTGTTGGTGTGTGTCTACCGGGTCACAATGTGCTAATTCAAAGACATGTGACTTGTTTTATAAAGAGTCTCAAGCAAGCAACGTACTTTCTTCATCTGTCTGATCAGTCTGGGTGACTCTTGCACAACCCTAGACAGTTCAAGGTTTGCCAATTTACTCATCAGTGTCCAGAGTCAAAGTTATCATCCAATTTTCCTTGTATTGCCTCCAGAATTATCACACTTTGTGTCTGGATCAGTGACACAGTAGTCCAGGCTCTGCCATCAGTCTCGATGACAGATAGAAATGTTTTAATCTCTCAAACCATCATTCTGCCAGGTCTTTTTCTAGCATGCTGGGGCGTCCACCCTCCTCCACACCAAATTCACACTAACTGCTTGCGTGGGGTGCCCTGCCAGACAGCTGAGAGAACTTGACTCTCAAAACCGAGTTGCTCCTAGGAAGTCCCTTATTTCTCTCTTTAAATTGTCATTCATTGATTTCACAAATATCTTCTGCCCACTATGTGGCACGTGCTCTAGGCAGACAATGGTGAGCAAGACAGGAGTGGCCATTGCCCTGCAAAGTCCCCTGCCTTGTCAGATGTCAGAGTCCAGTTGTCACAAGACAGGTACAGTCTCAAGTTCTTTTTAGGACTGACAAGCATTTGCTGCATGACCTTTGGCAAACTATTTCGTCCTGTCACTCTGAGGTTTGATCGCTCAGAAGTTGAGTTTTCTGGCCCACTGAGAATCACAGGATCTTAGACCTGGCAAGGCCCTTAAAGAGCAGATTCTCTATTTACTGATGAGGAAACTGAGCCCCAAGAGGTGATATTCTTTGCCCACAGGGACACATGACCCACAAGGAACATGTCTCCCAGCAACCCCACCCCACCCCAGCACTGCCCCCCACATAGTGAAGCTGAATATGGTCAATTCCTTATGAAGAACTGAGAGACCTTCAAGAGGAAGTACTCTACATCCTGAACTTTTCAGATAGATTGGTGTTGCAAAATGTTCAAGTGGCAACACGTGTGGAAAAAAAAAAAAAAAAAAAAAAAACCAAAGGCATATTTGGATCTTGCAGAAGGGTTTTCAGCAATACAAAGGCACAGGAATGAGAACAGCAGGAGTCCCAGTTACCAGGAGCATTCCCTTAAAGCCTCATGTGTGCCTCCTAATAAATCTGCTTTTTCCTTTTTGAAGTTTAAGTGCTCCCTTATTGAGCAGCCTCCTGGTAGCCAGGAGTGCCCTAGGAAACAATTGTCTTGCTTCCAGTGCTGGGGCACTCGGACTCTGTTGGTCTGGTTTGGTTGGTTGGTTGATGGGTGATTTTTCCCTCCCTCTATCCTCTTAAAACTCCAGTCAGCATATAGGGGTTTTTCATTTAGCTTCCTCAAATCCCCAGCCATTTCCCTAAAAGTCCATCCCATTAAACATGAAATCCACAGAACACACACCAAGCTACTTTTTCTCTCCCCTAATAAATCAGGTAAATTACCTCTTTTGTTTTTAAGACCATTTCAAGTTTGCCTTTAACATTTTTAGTTAAGGCATTATTTATGTTGTGATTTAATCGAGATTTAATCCACTTTTCAGCACACCATCGTATCGCAATATCCCTGAATTTTTTGCCCATGTTATTAAACTTGAGGAGCACGGCAACATTTTCCTCAGACATGACAGTGATCATTTCCAGATTGTGTGTGTCTCTCTGGCTTTTTAACACACCTGAGTTTCTAAGGCCCACTAAAATAAATAACGGTTTGGTCTGCAAAGAACTGGGCTGCATTAATAAATGCAGAGAGATCTGTTTATCTCCTCTTTCTGAAAACATAAGCATCTTCTACAAATATGAGTATACACAGCAGAAATCATGTGAATCTCTTGGTAAATGTTTGCCTTCACACTCCTGGGGTATGTTGCACACCAGATGGTTTGATCAAAACAAAATCATACACACACACGGAGACACACACACACACACACACATGTTTGAGCACCATGCCTCCTCGTTTTTGTGACATTTTTTTCTCCTTTCATGCATGAGAAAGAATGTAAAAATACTTAGAATAATGACCAGTATGTTCTGTGTTTACTGCTGCTTTCCCTCACTAGAGATTAACTCATAAAATTTTACTCCAAATTAAACAAACTGAGGCTCTCCTTGCAGCCAGTCAAACTGCCCACTTACACCAAAGGAAACCTTAACTTCCATCTCTGAGAGGCTGAATGGCCACCCCTGCGGAAGGATAACAGGGTCTCTCTTTTCCTCTCTGTGTTCTGCCACGCGTTGGAGGTGCCAAAATACTTGTCTGGACTCTGGCCCCCAGGGCACTTCATCTGCAATTAGAATGGAAACTATATTTTAGAACATTAACATCTCTCCTGCAGCTTTTTTTTTTTTAATTATCTGATTGCTCCAATTATAGTTATTTAGAGAAATCAGGCAGTCAAGGATTTACCAGCAGGTAGGCAAGAAAGCACCTTTGACTATGGCAGAGGACTTGCAAAGACAACTGTGTCTAGGACAGACTTAGGGACCATCTCACCCATCCTATCTTCTCAGTTGCAGTTTCTCTGGGGATGATTAGATGTTGTCTTTGAAAAATCCAAACGGGAGAATGTGTATAAAACCACCCCGTTCTGCGCCTTGAGCACAGTAAGTTTTCAGTGGACGTTAATTCCGTTGGAATCCCAGGCTTGAAACTGCAATCCAACGATGCATGTAAAAGACCTTGAGAAAGAAAACAAAAAGGCTCAAGGTCATGACCTCACCAGTCTTTTTGTCTTCCTCTCCGTATTGCTCGTGTTTCACAGCCTTCAGCCCCACTAAACAGCATTTTTACCTGGAAGGAGCTTAGAGAGGACTTTCATTTTAGAGGCGCATTTACAAAGATCCTCTGAAGCAAGGCCCCTGCTTCCTACTGTTAAAGCTCTGCTTCTTTTCAGCCGTGCCCGCCTGGAGCCACGGGCGTGTTTTTGTGTGGTCTCATTCCTGTTTTATGGATTGTTCATGTACCCTGGAATCCCTGGGATACTTCAATTACAAAAATTACCATGTGCTGGGTCCTTTCGGGTTGACAGGACTGCTTTCCTTTCTTTCTAAGCCGGGTTGTGTTTGTTTACATAGGAAATGTACTCTTTCTTAACATTCACTGTTTCAACATCCACTTAGATAGCTTCATGAAAAAATGGGTTAAAACATTAAGAAGTGTGGCAAGAGAAGGAAAAAAAATACATCTTTCTGTTTCAACCAAAAATTTGGTTCAGAACAAACTTGGAAAATCAGAGGATGTTTTTCCTTTCATCGCTGAAACAATGCTCTGCTTGTTCTCCCCGGGCAATGAGAACTATCCGGGCTTGGATCAGTGGGTCACATTGTGCAAAGTGTTTTTCCTGTTTAAACTATGTGCTTTCTTAACTGCTATCTTTTTGAAAGAAAATTAGATAACCTTATGTCCCCAGACTATATCGTATTTGTTTGAATAGGAAATGCTAATATTTTTCTACATGTTTCGTATCGGTGTCAGTGGAAACTCAGTTTGGTGGTTAAGACAGGCCCCTCTAAGCTCTGGGAATCACATTGGCTATCTTCCAGAAGCCAAGAGGTTCACGGTGATTTTGTATAATCATCTCCATAGCTATGTGAATTGTCTATATTACTTAGCCAGAAGAAAAAAAAATTATATTTACCTTTTCTGTGTTTAATTTATCTTTAAATATGTCATTTGATGAGACTTTTCCTTCTTAATGTCTCTTCTCTTTACCTCCACCTCCTATATTACTTCTGCTTTCTACCCAGTCCTACCAATCAACTCCCCAAACTTCCTGCAACCTCTACTTAAAGATCATGCTGAATTAGTCATTACACCCAAGGATCTCTGCCCCATCCGTTTCTGCATACCCATTGGTCTAAGCCAATGCCTGTTACATCACAGCCCCACCCCTGCCCATGACTAGAGGTTCCCCCTTCCCACATGTCCCCAGTTGTGTTCAGGCCCCTTTATCTGACATTCTTGGAAGCAGAAACAGCAGCAGAAACACATTTCTAAAACAACAGATTCCCCATGCAAACAAGGTCTCTACTAAGGCACATCAACCAAGTCCTCTGTAGGCAGCACTGCCCTATCTAAAATTTTTTAAAGTGAAGCTTGTCATTTGCACTTCAATCTCCATTTGTCAGTACCTTCTCTTCAAACACACGTGTTTATATACTTAATACCATCTTGCTTCCCCATATGAAAATCTGCTCCCGGAAAACTAGCGTCAGGCATGTATAACTTAATGCAAATTTAAGTTGATGTGTTCTTTCTCCCAAGGGTACCTAAATTCTAAGGCCTGTATCTAACTAAAGAATGAAGATGTGTCCCCTCTTGATCGTGTTTTAGCCATCGGTGCTCAGACGGGAGAGGTGGCACTTTGGGCAATAAGACACACTCTTTCTTTCATGACTTTATTGTCATGAAAACATACCACGCAAGTGCTTTTCTGCACCACTAGAACAAATAAGACCTCCTAAAAACGCTAGGTGTCTGTTTAAACTCAGAACTTTAAACCTGAGACCCTTCCACCCTAAATGATAACACTGCTCTCTTGTTGCTCTATAATCAAACCAACAGCCTTAACTTTATACCTGGCAAATATATGTAAGTAGCAATCACACCCACTGTTATGTAAAGTGCAAAAGCAACAATGAGCAGAGGCGGGTTACGCCTCAGGGCCTTTGCCTGCACAGGCCCCTTCCCAAACCCTAGGCAGGGGACCTAGCAATTTTGTATTCATAATTTTACATTCTTGTTAAAGAAGGCCCCGAAATGGTAGAAGCTTCAGGCCCCATACAACTTTTAGATCCACCCTGCTAGGGACTGAATTGTGTTCCCCAGAAATTCATACGTTGAAGCCTTAACTACCAATGTAACTATATTTGGAAAAATAAGGCCTTTAAAGAGTTAATAGAGGTTAAATGAGGTCATAAGGGTGGAACCCGCATCCAATATGACTGTTATCCTTATAAAAAGAGGAAGAGACACTAGGGCTTCATGCACACAGAGAAAAGCTGCCATCTGCAAGCTGAGGAGTGAGGTCTCAGAAGAAATTAAACCTGTCTACACCTCAATCTCCGACTTCAAGCCTCCCGAACTGGAAGACAATCGATTTCTATTGTTTAAGCCACCCAGTCTGTAGAATTCTCTCATGGCAGAATCCATACCCCTAGAAATCAGATACCATTTTTTAACTTCTCACTAGACAATTTTGTTAATGTTAACATTCAGTGCTAACTAAGTATAGTGAAACAGGTAATCAAACATACACTGCTGTTGGGACGTGATTCAACACAACTTTTTGGAAAGCAAATATTAAAAGACATAAAAATACTTGTTTCCATTACCCCAAGAATTCTTCTGGGACTCTATCCTAACCAAATAACTCAAAATATTTTAAAAACTGTATACACAAAGAAGTACATTAAAGTATTATTTACAATACTTGTCCATAACTGGAAGCTCCCCCCTTCCCATGAATTACAAGTTGTATGGGCCTTGGGTTTGTGGAGGAATCTGCCAGGGATTTTTAAAGATTCCCAAATTTGACCATACATCTATATATGAAATTGTGTTGGTTTATTTGCAAAAATGGTTCCAATAATTCTTTCCATTCCTGCCTGCATGCCCCTCTGCCCTGTGATATTGCTGCCCCACCCATCAAGAAATAGAGTCTCTTTTTTCATTCTTTGATCTGGGTTTAGCCATATGACTTGCTTTGGCCTACAGAATATTAACAAATATGATGCAAGCAAAAAAGGCTTGAAAAATGCTCGCACACAAATCGTGTTTTCTCTTTCTGCACTTGAAACCATGAGACCCTCAGGCAAATGAGCCCAAGCTAGGGCTATGATGCTAAAGAGGAAACATACTGAAAAGCCAAGGCACTATGGCCAACAGCCTGCCAACCCAACCATGTGATTGAGTCCGTGCTAGACCATCTAGCCCCAGCCAAGTCCGCCCAGGCCAGAACTCTCCCAGACATCTCAGTCAGCCACAGAACGGTGAGCTAAAAAATAAACGTTTATGGTTTTAAGCTCTAAAATGTGAAAGGTTTGTTATGCAGCAAAAATTAACTAATACAATAATTTCCCCCTGTAAAATGCTTGTGGGACAAATTGAGAATACACAAACTATGTTAATGTCTTTACATTGAGTAAGTAGTTGGTGTTCTAGCTGGCAAGCTCCTGCGTTCCAGTCTTGCGACTCAGATTCCCCTAATGCTTCAGTAAAATTACTAATTACCACATTCCATGGACCTCTGGATTGCCTGAGAATACCTGAAATCTTGAACGATAAATCTGCATAGGCCCATAGCCTGGTTTAGTTTAAAACTGGAAATAGGCAGAATGCTCTACATTACACACTTCCCTTCCATTAAGCCACTTAAAATTATGGCTGTGAAGACAATGTAGAAACATGGGGAATACTTTAATGCAATATTAAATGAAAAGAACAAGCTAAAACACTGTTCTTAAATTATTGTTATAAATATGTAAAGAAAAATAGCTAAATAATTACACCGAGGAAAAAGACTCTGAAGAATTGTGCCAAAACACATTAGCAGCTGCTTTAGGATGTTAGATTATGGGTAAGTAGTATTTTCTTTTATATATTTGCTGTCATATTATCTTCATAGTTAATTATATTCATAAGTTTAAAAAATTAATATATAATAATTTTAAAAAGTAAAACCTGGATACAGGTATAGCCCATCTGTTTTTTGTATAACTTTTAACCATACAGACTCTCTCTGCTAGTTTAAAACCATAATTTCCCAGAATATGAAATGAAGTTTTTAGTTATTTGGATCTTACTAATATTACCCTGGAATTTTACATAAATCTGTTTAGAATCTATTTAAACTACTTTATAAGACCAGGACCTGCCCAATTTCACTAAATTAGTAATTATTAAAGCCTCATGGGTGAGGCCTTGTTTGATTCAAATCTAAGCTGAGGGCAGAGGCAAAAATCATGTTGCCACCTTTTTAGGCCGCAGCTACGCTGAGAAATAGCTCTAGATCCAGTTACTTATCTTGGAATGAGCAGACCTTAGTTATTCTCCTGAAAAAAATGCTGTATATGACCAAAACTTTTGTTAACTAGTATGTATTTCTACCCACAGCCAGGAAGGCATTATGAGAGAAAACAATAATAAAATTAGACAGTTTGAGTGCTTTCCTGTGGCTCCCCCTTGGACAATCTCTTTAAAAACAGCAATTCCTTTGACTTTTGACCTCTGCAATCCCCTATTTTTGAGCCAGTCTTCCCCCATCTCAC